AACAAACCAATCAACCAACCCACCAACCAACCAACCAATCAATCAACCCACAAAAACAAATCAACCCAAACCAATCCAATTCCACGTTCAATCCAAGTTCACAATAATAACTTTATAATAATGCAGCAATATAGCAGTGTAAATATTAGGTGACAAATTAATGATATTTTCTTTGGCTTTAATTTTCATTTCATTTTCTCTTTTTTTTCAATTTTATAAGTTTTTTTCAATGCAAAATTTATCTGAAATATTTGCAAAATATTGCGCAATTAATAAAAATTTTTTTTAGCACAAATTATATAGTCAATAATTTTCTCATTTTGCTACAATACTTGCAAATAAGCGAAATTTAAATAATTCAATCAATTGCTAATTACACTTTTTACCTTCCTTATTTTTATATTTTTCTTAAAATTTTTACAAATATGATCAAAATGTACACGTTCAAGGCATACATAAAAACAAACCAATCAACCAACCCTTGAATAATCGTCTACTTAGCCATCAAGAAAGTTTTCGAAATTTAAAGTATTTTTAATTCTCAAATTTTGCTAGTCTCAATTTGCAGACATTCTCATTTATGGAAGTATATTAGTGATAAGTTTTTAGGCTTAAATAAATATCGAGTTTCCTGACTAGAATATATAATTCATTAATAAATATACTCTAAAGAATTAATATCAATTAAGTTTAATTCTGCTGTTAGCTTACATTATTTTCAAATTCAATTTCAATCTCTCAAGAAATTAAACGATGACTTTTAATAAAAGCAAATGAATTTAGAATTGTTTCTCAATTTTTTTGTTGCAATGATAAATCAATGGTTAAGTAACAAATCGCTAATTTCCAATTGGCAAAATTACCAATTAATATGTTTAAAAGATAAAATCAAAAAAAAAAACGAACAAGTAGGCAACGTGGTTTTTGTTATTCATACTATTTTTGTTTTGCAAAATTCCGAAGAAAAAAAGAACTCCGTAAAAATTTTTTTTCTTTATCAACTATTCCGTTATTTTTATTGATAATTTATATTGTGACATTTATATCATGCATAAATATATTTATAGTTTTTTCTAGAAAATATGAAATGAAAGGAAAATGAAAAAAATTTGGTTTTCTTAGCAATATGAAGTTTTTTTCTTCGAGGCCTAATTGACTTTAATTTACGGAACCTTAACAGAAGAGCAGAAATAGGTAGACATCCTGACAAAACTGTCAACAATGATTATACCGGAAATTAAAATCTGAATGAATAAATATTTAAGATTGCGTTAGGTCGTTAGTGAAGTAATCTTGTTCCTATTGGGCCAAGGTACGGAAGGTCTTTTAATTTATATGTTTGAGTTTGGGCCACTATTTTCTAAATTTGTTTATTAAGCCGAGATATATGACCTCTTCCTGCTTACATATGTTTGAGTCTGAACAAAGTTAGACCTTTTGTTTTTCTCGCTTCTCAAACTATATAATTTTTCTTCACTTTCTTTTCTCCTCCGACACTTAATTTTGCAATTTATTAATTAGCAAGATAAATTTTTAAAATTTTTTCTATTTTTATCAAATTTCGGTTTTTCAAAGTTTTTTCCTACCAAATCTTGGTTTTTCTTAGTTTTTTACAACAAATCTCATTTCCTCAAGAGAAATTTCAATTTTTTTTAAAAAATATTTCATATTTAATTTAATGAATACATCGTTTTCAGGCAGTTTTAAAAGATATATGGTTGGAATTAACTTCTGAGCACATAGCAGAAGTGACTAATTTTGATGTATCGAAGAAAAAATGGCAACCTTCGTTGAGCGAACTAATCGAAACAGCACCGTCCACAAGTGTAGCATCACAAGAAGTTCGTTTTTGTTTTTCCTTTCTACTTAATTTGAAATTTTACTAAATCATTGCAATCCTGGTGGATTCTTTCCAGGAATTATTACGTTCAAAATTTATTAAATTTTTCAAAAAATTTGTACACTTCAGATTCCTAGACAGTTGATATCATCTAATGGAAAAGTGAATTATTCGGAAAGTTCACGTGGAAAAGAAGGTCAGGTGTTAGTTGATAGCAATATTTCCAACCAATTCATAAGTGAAACAGAATTCGGAAATAGAAAGGCAAAATTAAAAGAAATAGATTCTGAAATGGATGCAAGGCGAAAAGGCAACAATAAAGAGTAAGTATTGATTTCCATTATTTTATTCGCCAAAATTACTGATTTTATATTTTTTTGAAAATTAAAAAAAGTTCATTCCGAAATTTAACATCATTGTATTGTTTCAAAAATTTCACCATTATGTATTTATAATTTCGTAAAATTTTCTCAAAATTTTTTTTGGCGATGAATTTGAAACTCATTAATGTGAAGATATTTTTTCCATATGTCAAGGTCGCAAGAAAAATCAGTAACCGGAATGCCGTCAGATCAATTAAATCTACCATCTGAAACTGATCAATTGCTCATCCGGAATGAAATCAGGCGGAATAGTTTGATTGAAGCTGAATTAATTAGTCCATCAATGCTTTTGGATTCATTACCGTTACCAGACTCATCCGAAACGTACCTGGTGATTTTGCACATTCCTTCCTTAATTTCGAATTTCTTAAATTTTAATTACTCTAAATAGAATGATAAGTAAATATTTCAGTATGCAACCATTCATTTACAATTTTAATGTTGGAATATCATTACTTCTTCTTTTCTTAGAAGCTATCCATTTCTTTGATCGAGCATCTCTCGAAAATTAACCGGAATACCTGGTTCATCAATCCCAGAAAGTTATATTATCAGTGCGGTTGTTATATAAAAAGTAATCAATTCTACGTCATTTTGGAAATTTATCAGCTGATCAAAAAGCCACTGCTAACAGAATGTATTATTTCTTACAGTCAACTAAGTCAAATCGTTTCAAATTTTGGGGTCAAACAAGGACCGTTATATTACATCGTGAGCCGAATCAATCATTCGGTAAGTGAAAAAAAAAATTAAGGAAGAATAGACATGGTTGAAGACGTAAAAAAAATAGAACACATATCCGTTGGAGCACGTTAAAACAGTTCATGTACTTTATTGAATATTTTTTGTTATTACGTATAGCTAATTGTATTTCACATAGCATGATATAGCATTGTTAAATGTTAAATTATTTGACTTGAATTTTTTTTTTTGAACAAATTCATATTGCAGGTATTAGTATTGTTGGTGGACGTGTGGAAGTGAGTCATAAAAGTGGACAACCTGATGCAAGGAATACTGTTTCGGGTATTTTCATCAAATCGGTCTTACCAAATTCACCAGCTGGCCTTTCTAATATGATGAATATGGGTGATCGAGTGATTAGTGTAAGTAATTTGAAAGATAAAATTATCAGATAAATTTAAGAATAAAGTATGTTGTAGTATGAATGACGATTAATCGGAATTGGAATCGAAAATTGAGAAAAGTTTCTAACAAAGCTGAGGAGGTAAAAAAAAGTTAAATTTTTAAGTAAACAGAAGTAATTTTAGCTTGGTAAGTGAATAATTAAAAGAAAACGTGTCATCAATTATGATGACGTTAACAAAGAATTTTTCAGGTAAATGATCAAGACTTACGTGAAGCTACACATGAGCAAGCAGTTCAGGTCATAAAAAATGCCAAAAATCCAGTGAAATTTGTTGTCCAAAGTCTTCATAGTTTTCCGTTACATCAGGTTAAAGATATTCTTCTTCGAGATATTTTACTATTTCAATATTTTACACAATTTATCTTTCTATAAATAATTGTAAAATTTATGAATTAAAAATTTTTATTTTTTAGAAAGTTTGCACTCTTTCCATTATACATTTAATTAATGTTTCCGGTGAAGAAATTTTTCTGCGCAAATGAGTTAATTTTGATTGATTTTTAAGGGTGGCATTAATGAAGTGAAAGATGGAAGGAAGGAATGTGATAGCGCAGGCTTAATGAGCACATTCAATGCATCGAAAGTTAAAACGAAAGTATTCTTTTCTGTTTTATACGTTTAAAATTTCATTCAATGATTTTATAAATTCTATTCTAATGCTTGCAGTAGAGACATATTTCCATGCTATATTTGATATTTCTTTTTCAAAATTTAAAATTTCTAAAGAAAATATTTCATTTAATCATTTTTTTATTTGCATTAAACAGTAAATTTGCACCGATATATTTGTTTTACGTTGATATATCAGTTAAAACATTTTTGCATTAAATGTAATTATGCAGGACGAGGTTGCACCGATGATGCTTGCCGATAATATTCAGGAATTGACAGGAACCGAAGGAACAACTTTGAGAAAAGAAAGCTCAATTTCTGTAGCACAAAAAATTGAATTACAGAAAAGTGACGAGTTGAAATTTGAAGAGATGAAAGGATATGAAATAAATGAACTTCGCAAGAAGACATCAGTTAGCATGCATGTAAATTTCACACTATCTATTTCTTTTTTGTTCTCTCCAAAAAAAATATATTTTTTTCAAAAAATTTCGGTAATTAATTAGTTACAAATATGCAACAATGATTCATAATTTAACGATTAATTTCTTTCATAATTCGTTTGTATTTCACAGTATATGAATTAAGATATTTACGGTATTATTTACTATAAAATGATTAAGCATTATACCAAGAAATTTTGAGGTGATGCTTAATCAAAGTTATTTTAATTTTTATTTTTTTCAAGGAGGAGAAGCCTGAAGGAATGCAAAGTATGGAAAAGTTATCACGAAAACGAAGTAAGAAATTGATACGACGAGGAATTGATACGAACAGTGCAGCTGCGCTACCGAAACGTGATGATGATCCGGAAGAGGAAGATCAGTTCCTCTATACAAAAGGTATTTATTAAGAAATATCATTTCAATTTTAATTTAATATCAAAACAACTCTTTTATTTATTTTCTTTATTTTTGTACGTTTCAGATATTCATATTTTGGCTTAAAACATCACATGTCATTGTTACGTTTATAAAAGTTTAAATGCATGAATGTTTAATTTGTCACGATTAGCTATATTGACATAATTAATTTGATATATAATTTAGATAAAATAAATCGAAAATATGGTAATTTATTGGGTGATACGATATTGTTGAAGTTAGATAAAATACCACGTGATGGTCTTGGCATATCACTTGCAAGTAATCGTGGTCGTGATCATGATCGGATGAATGTTTTAGTGGTTGCGGTTAAATCAACTTGTCCATTATCGGTGAAAATTGGTGATGAACTACTTGAGGTGCATTTTTTATGATGGAATTTATAGATCATAAACGAGAATAAGTGATAGAAATTTTGTAAAAGTAAAAGATTTAATTAAAATCAAAGCAATAAAAAAAATATGCAGAAGGGGAGGGAGAGAGAGAGAAAGATAAGTCAGGAAGAGAAAATCTTAAGATGAACTTAATTGTTGAACATTTTTCTAATGTCTGTAATTGCTAGGTAAATGGAAAAGTACTTATCGGTTTGTCGCATTTGAGTGCTTCTTCGATAATGCGTGAATGTTGCGAGGATGGCATTTTGGAATTGTTATTGTTGAGAAGATTCGAAACATTGGTGACCTTTTTCTCTTTTTATTTTTTAAATTCAAAAGTTTCTTCCATTGAGCAAGTTTT